TGCCTTATTTCAGGAGCACTGGTTAGTGTTGCCTTTTGTCAGACTCGTCAGTACTACTTTGTGAGCACCTCAAAGACATGGACAGATGCACAGAGTCACTGCAGAAATGTCTACACTGACCTGGCAACCATAGAAAACACAGCTGATCTTTATGCTGTCACAAGCATTGCACCAAACACAGGTGAGTGTTTAATATTTGAAGTAAAAATAATACATAACAAACTGTAAAAATATATACATTCACAATAATAAAATTCTTGAGAAACCTTAAAGGAATACAGAAAACAGAAAACTGCATCTTTTTAAACAGGTAAGGCATGGATAGGTCTCCATGATGACCTGCAGAACAGCTGGAGATGGTCCCTAAATGACAGCAGCTTCTATGGTGTGGGAGAGGCAGCATTTAGAAACTGGTACCCTGGTTCGCCCAACAATCTTAATGGACAGCAACAGTACTGTGTGGCACTTTTAAGTGGGAGTCCATACAATGGTGAATGGGATGATCGTTATTGTGGCAATAACTACTCCTTTGTGTGCTATAATGGTGAGTTTACATGGAGTAAGAATTAACAATGTGTCAAATATTTCTCCTCAAACATTTTGACCTACTCAGTCTACATCATAAATCTACTATTAGGTCTCCCTTTTCATTTCCTGAACTCCACACACATTTTATTGAAAATATATAATCGGCAAGTCCAACCTATCAGTCTACTGGTTCATTATTTCTGTATATTTGCAGGTACAATAAATGGTGAAGCATCCTTTGTTAAGGTTGACAGTACTGTAAATTGGACTGATGCTCAGAGTTTCTGCAGGAATAATTACGTTGATCTAGCCAGGTATGGTATCCACTAAAGAAGACTTTTCTGTTTATTATGTCAGGGCCATTAGCTGATTAGTTGGTTGCCTACTTTTGTTTTAGTCTTTTTTGTTTTTTATTTTTTAAGGTAATAGAAAATAATGAAAATATACTACACAAAAAGGTGTTTGTTATATGTAAGACTGCTGTTCCCCTGTTTGTTGCTGGTTGACACCAAATCTCGAAAGAGCCATTAAATGTACTTTATTTTAAAATAATTTAAATAAGTTCTAATAATATATTGGAAAATGCGTTGCATGTTGAAGTATCGGTTGTTTTACTTCTGCTTTAAAAATCCAACTCTTCTTCCTGCAGTATAAGAAATCAGACAGAAAATCAGAAGATCGCGGTCCTAGCAAATGGAGTTTTTGTGTGGATCGGTCTGTATCGGCAAAAGGTGTGGTCTGATGGGACTGACTCTCTGTTTCAATACTGGGCCACTGGGCAACCAGACTCTGGAAATGAGCAGTGTGTTGCTGCAGATTTCAGTGACTCAGGACGATGGTCGGATGAATTGTGCTCTAACAACTTTCCATCCATCTGTTTTACTACAAGTAATAGATCCAATTTCTACTCTCATATACTGAATAGATATTCATTTTTGAGTTAAGGCAGTTTACTATGAGGTGCTGTAAGGGACATTATTACTGAAACGCTCTCACACACACTACTGAAATTTTATCTCTCACACACACTACTTTAAGGTGTCTTGGATAAATACAATAAAATAAAACCAGTACCGCTACCCAAAAAAAGAAGATTTAGGCCCAGGGAAACCAAGTTAACAATATAAACTATATAAAAATACAAAAACGATAAATACCCTGAAAACCATAAATTCCAAACTCAAGCCTCAACTCTTGCCCGGTACCAAATGATTCACAGACAGGTACTGGTCCAGGACCTGGGGGTTGGGGACGGCTCTGCTTGTAGCCTAAGTGAAGCAGTTGCATTACTTAACAATATTTTAGCTCCCTTGAATCCATTCCTGAATTCAAGGGAGCTAAAATATTGTTAAGTAATGCGGCTTGAATCCAGGAATGGATTCAAGGTGCAACACGGAATTTGCCAAGTATGTCCTGTTTCCCCTAAGCTTTTAATATTGGCAACTCACTATTAATCAAAAGTTCTAACGACATAGAAGGAATATAAATTTTTAATAAAGACTTCAAAATAAGTCAATTCGCAGATGATACATCTATTGTTTTGATAGATAAATACGTGGTAGAGAAAACTAAATTTTCTCTAAAGCTTCTGGTTTATCTCTCCGTATCAAAAACTGTGAACTACTCCCGATTCTCTGACTCCTCAATAGCTTTGGTTAGAGTTGAATCTAAAGTTAAATATATAGGGCTGATAATATCTAAAAAAAATAACTAATTAGCAGAGAAGACACTAATATTTCTAACTGTATCATGGAGATGAAGAAATCACTTAGCCACTGGTTAACCAGAGACCTCGCTATTTTTGGCATCCTATCTAAAGCTGAAGGCATCTCAGAATTGATTTATCCTTGTCACTCTCTATATATCTCCTCTAAAAGCACTAATAAGGCTAACACAGTTATTTTCAAATTTTTGTGGAGGAATAAAACCCATTACATTGAAAGATCTCAGCTTGTGAAGGAATACAATAAAGGTGGTATCAAAACTCCAGAATTTGAATTTATGGTTGGTACCCTTAGAATTAAATGGTTAAAATCTTGTCTGCCACAGCCAGACTCTACGTAGTTCCACATCCCATGATCCTTGTTTAACAAAATAGGAGGATTAGAGTTTATTTTGAAATGTGATTTTGAGGTAAATAAAATTCCGATCAAACTTTCCAAAACAGACTTTGCATTTTGCAAAATGAGATTTACCCACAACTTCTCCCCATAATTCAACCTTATGGAATAATAGGGTAATAACACTTACTCAAAAATCAATTTTCAAGAGCGACTGGTTTAAACAAAAAGATTATATTCATAACAGATTTGTTGGATGATAACTGTGTCATTCTAAGTTACACAGACATTTCAGAAAAATATTGTCTAAACTGTTCTCAAAGAGAATATAACAAATTTTGTAAACTGGTCCCACTGCCTCTGCTTCATTTTTTTTTCTTTTTTTGTGTCCCGTTTGGATCTTTAGCCATCAGAATTGTTGTCTTAAGGCCAAGAAAGATGCCAAGCGGATT